ATCTTGATATAAAAGTAAATATTTTATGATTTTTAAATCTAGATGATCCGATTAAAATATTTGATAAAAATAATATTTTTCTCGTATAAAAAATATTAATAAAAGATTTCATTAAAACATCACCAATTTCTTCTAATCTATTTTCAAAGAGAATAAAGATTTCTAATACAATATTACTATTTATTGTGAATCCTAAATTTCTAAGTTCTTTTAATCGGTTAATAATTGATATTTCATCAGGTTTGATTGAATGATTCGAGTTTGGAAAAAGAATGAGTATTGCACCTTGTATCACTAATGAAGTAGTATCTTTACAAATATCATGGTATCCGATTTCTTTCCATAATTTGATTAATATTGGATTTATTAGGATTGCTCTAGCGATCAGATTCATTTGATTAATATCTTCAAATCCATCTAATGAAGGATAAGGTTTAGTATCATTATTTTTTCCAAATGGAAAGGGTATATATTTCAAGTTGATTATTAGATTTTTGATTTCTTTAATATTATTTTCAAAGATTATTGAAGCATCATTAAATTTATATGAAGCACCAGTTAAGGAATTAAATAATTCCATATCATTCCCACGTAAATCAAAATTTTTCTTGAATCTTGAGTTAGCTTCATTTAATAAATATGTATAAACTGGAATAGGTAAATCAGAAGCCCATGGTTTTGTTTTTAATTTATTTTCGATATCAGGATCATAATTTTCATTTAATTTTATTTTCAAGAGTTTTTTATCAAAAGAACCAAAGGAGAGATGTAGTTTTTGTATAAAGTATCTGGATAATATTCCACCTTTGTTGATAATGATCTTTACAGTCTCGATGTTGAGAAAGGTAGGACCCAATCTGATCGCGTAGAATAGAGCGTGAGCGATACCGTGATGAAAGATGACCCATTCAGCCTTGAAACAATCATTGATAATGATGAGTTTAAAACGTCTGCAGACATGCATCACATTGGTCAAGATTTTCACGTGTTTGAATATAGTAAAAATGACTTCATTAGAAACAATATTATTTGAAAAATCGTATCTGGTAAACATTTTGACATGAATTCACATAATATTTTATTGATTTATATCTTGTTTAAATTATTAATAAAAAAAATTTTTATTGATTAAAATATTTATTAAAAAAAATATAAATAATATTTATGATAAAATAATTTGAAATAATATAATTTAAAATAAATATATTAAATGAATGAGATAAATG